TAAAAAAAACCCGGTCCCAGGCCCGCCCCTTGGGGCACTCCGCTGGAACCCGGCTGCCAACTAGACATGGAGCCGTTGATCACTACCCGTTGAGCCCGACGATCTAACCAGCTTTCTATCCACCTTACAGTCCATTCATCCATCCCATACTTCTTTAACTTGGTGGCAAGAATACCGGGGTAGCACGTATCGAAAGCTTTGCTTAAGTGAAGGAAAAACACAGTGACTGCTTTCCCCTCATCCACAGAGCCAGTTATCTCATCATAGAAGGCAATTAGGTTAGTCAGGCACGATTTCACCTTGGTGAATCCATGCTGACTGTTCCTGATCACTTTCCTCTCCTCTAAGTGTTTCATAATTGATTCCTTGAGGACCTGCTCCATGATTTTTCCAGGGACTGAGGTGAGGCTGACTGGCCTGTAGTTCCCCGGATCCTCCTCCTTCTCTTTTTTAAAGATGGGCACTACATTAGCCTTCTTCCAGTCATCTGGGACCTCCCCCGATCGCCATGAGTTTTCAAAAATAATGGCTAATGGCTCTGCAATCTCATCTGCCAACTCCTTTAGCACCCTCGGATTCAAGGCTCAGGAATCATAACGTACTTTATGTTCCTGAGCCTTGACTCGAAACAGAGGAAACTACATTATAAAAGGCATAAAAATTAATAAAATATGATACATTTATCAACTAAGGGGAGCCAAGGACTGAACAGATTTGCAGCATGGTAGAGCAGTGGTTATTACTTCAAAGAATGGACATTTTCAAACATTAATGCATGACATCTCTAGCTGATTTCGTTTAGCTGAAGGAGGCTTGTGGTGTGTTGGAAATTTCTTTGAAACTTATACTGTAGTCTGAGGGATGTGAAAGAAAAAAAAATCAACAATAGACAGACAGCTCCCTCCTACCTTTGCTGTTTTTTTTAGCAGGTAGTTTTCTTTGCTCTTCCTTCTCTTTCCTCTGAATTATGCCTGCATTAGCTTTCAGGGCCTTTTTAAAGCAACTGGAGTTCTTGCTGAGGTTTTCCTTTGCTTCTAGTCGGGGTTTCTTAGACAGCACCTTTGACAACATTTTCTTCTTACCCCCATCAGCTGAATGTCCACTGTTTGCTGTTTCTTGCTGACACTTAACGTCCTCAGGCCCAACAAGTAAGTGCTTGCAGGGCTTTGACCCCTTTTGAGTTTTTGTCTTCTCTTCTCTTAGTGTGACTGGATCAGCTGTGGTCAATGCTAAAGAGCATGGCTGAGATTTGCTCTGTGGCACCTCCTCCTGAAAACGACTGTACTCTGAGGCATATGTTGGGAGCCTAACTAAAACCCCTGTTACACGGTCTGATGAAATCATGTTTTGACTCCTGCCAGCCATGAATTGCCTGGTTTTATGATATTCAGTAGAGTTAGTTGTATTTCCACTCCTGTATGTATTACAGGGTGTTTCAATTTGCTGAGCGGAAGGAGTCCGGGATGGATCGGACTGTCCAGTACAATAACTTGTAATATGTTCCTCTTCCTCTGGAGTAATCAAAGCACGCATATAAGGCTCTACTTCACCTTCACCTAGACTATATTCAGTGGCTTCTTGAATTTGTTCTGTTTTCTTTTCACACAAGATTGTTTCCTTGTTTTCTTCAGCTGTTTTATGGCATTGACACTGCAATAGTTCAGGTGTAGTTTCCAACTTGTTCAAATGTTCATTCCCCTTAAGTACTATTTGTGTGGATTCAGACTGCACTAGGCTTTCTACACTGGAGTATCCTTTTACCAGTGTGTTGACAGTGGAGCCTTCTGTTTGGCTCATAGGTTCTACAGAGACAGATAAAGTTTCTTGTAAGTTCGTATGTTGGGTGGAAAGGATGGAACTATCCACCTTGTCACCAACATCTTTACAGTCTTGACTTGCAGTACTATTATTTTCATTCCCAACATGTGTTATAGGCTGAAAGAAGCTAACTGGTGCCACCCGCCCAGAGTCATAAGTGGAATCTGTTGAAGAGTCCATTCTTAACTTTCTCCCAATCTTGCAACAATGGTCAAAGATAATTGCATTTCCTTCTGATGCTCCCTGCTGAGAATCTAAAGGCTGAATTTCTGAAATGCTGTCCAATCCTGGGAAACCTAAAGTTGCAATATTTTTTACCTCATCTATTCCAAGATCTCTCTTTTCTCTACCCATTTTGTTTTCTTCATCTTTTGGTTTTTCTAATAAAATTTCAGTTAAAAACTGCTCCTCAGACAATGCCTTGAAGACCACCTGCTGCACACCTATCTCTGTCTTACTGTTGTCTTGATCTGGATTTTTCAGTCTGTCCTGATACGTTACAGTTTCCGGACTCCTAATTAAATTATGTAGCTGTATAATGTAACTACAGTCCTGTGAATCAGAAACACTTTGGAAATCTTCACTGTCATTATCTCTTGAAAGATGGTAAGTGCCACAGTTACTGTCATTTTGTGCATTCAGGTCTGATTCATTTCCTTTTTCCTGAAAATTCTCTTCAGAACTTTTATTCACTTCTTTAACAGAAGAGTTCTTTTCACCTGTAAATTGATTGATATTTTCACAGGAGGAATTACTGGATAAATCCTCTTTTTGTACAAGATCAGGGAGATAAACACAATCTTTTATTTCTGGGTAGCTCTGTATAACAGGAGAGTCTTTAGTAGATAGTTCATCTATACATTTAATTATCTGATCATTTGTTAAATGTATATTCTGATCTGTATAAGGTAATTGACCAATGTAACTATCTGGTGTGTAAATTAGGTGTTCTTGGTCTTGTTCTAAATGACTACTTTGAGCCTTTATTAATCTGGGAGGAGATTCTGCATCATGAGATTGGAAAGAATTATTAGAGGCAAGCTTTCCTTCCTGGGCAGCAGTCATTCGAATAGATCCATTATCATCAGTTAATGCTTTGTTTGGCTTCTGCTCCAGCCACTCCTTGGCATTTAAGATATCATTTGTTAAAGCATGAGTGGCTGGTTCTTCTATTTTATTTCCAGTACTAGAACACAGGCCCATACCATCGGTTTCTGCAGTTTGTCTGAGAGAAGTGTTTCTTATGGATGTACTGCTACACTCTTCGTCTGTTTTTAGTAGGCTATCAGAATCACTGCAACCCTCCATTGCTGTTCTTAGTCCAGTTGCCAGTGCTGTGACAGGTTCATTATCTTCTGTTATATTTACTGCAACAGGAGGTTCAGTACTGGCCTCTCCGATAAACTTCACTGCTGTGGCTTTGACAACTGCAGGACTGATTTCTAAGCTCTCAAGCTTCCTATTTTCACATCTGAGGTGACAGTCTGAATCTTCTTCATAAAGAGGTTTCAATAGCTTGTCATGTGCTGAAGATGAATCAGAATCTCTACACTGAGGTTCCACAGATCCCAGAATTGCACAGCAATTTGCTTTGGGCAGATATTCATTACATGGTTCATCATAGAAGGTATCTGTATCACTGTTCTCAAGAGCACCACATGTTTTTCCTCTGTCCCCTTGGCCATCACTTAGCTCTGTAGGAGTCAGAACAGCACATAAAAGGTCTTGCTTATTAGTAATAGTATCAGTAATCCTGTAGAAAACAAGCTAATACATCATAGAATCATAGAGTTTAAGACCAGACTAGACTAGATCATCTAGTCTGACCTTCGTTCTGTATATCATAGGCCACTACCACTACCCAGCACCCACACACTAAACCCAACAACCAAAATAAGACCAAAGTATTACAGCCCACAGGAGATTAGATTTATGTGCCACAGGCAGAAAATAGGAAGGACTGAGGTGCACCAATGCTTGAGGCTCCCACAATGGCAGGAAAATGATTACATGTAGGATGACCAGACAGTAAGTGTGAAAAATCAGGACAGAGGGTGGGGGGGTAATAGGAGGCTATATAAGAAAAAGCCCGAAATATCGGGACTGTCCTTATAAAATAGGGACATCTGGTCACCCTAATTACATGAAATATACCCAGATAATCCTGGCAAGTGACCTGCACTCACACGCAGCGGAGAAAGGTGACCCCTCTTTCTGCCAGTCTGACCTGGGGAAATATTCCTTCCTGACCCACATATGATGATCAGTTAGACCTTGAACATGTGAGCAAGAACCAGTCAGCCAAGCACCTGAGAGAGAAAGAGAGAGAGTGTGCTCGGTGCTACCCTGCCCTGCTCTCCCTGTCCAATGTCCCATCTCCAGCCGTGGCCATCCCTGATGCTTCAGAAGGAGATTAAAAAAATGTTGTTGTTACTTGTAATATTAACTCTTTGTTCCCCGCCTGGTTGTTGCTGATCGCTATCTCTCTGATCATGGGGTACATCGTGAGCAATACAGCTTTGTAAAGTCAGATATCCTGTTTGTAATCCATTTTCACTGCTGATCATATTCAACGCTGGAAGGCTGGTTGTTGCAATGTCCCTTACTGGAGAAGTCGTGAAAATGAAACTCTCGTCTATTTTAGGGTCCATACACTGTTTCTTATATCTTTGCATAAAGCTTTCTGTGTTTGTTTCTTGTTCCTGTACCTAGGAAAAACAGGGAAAAGAGAAATACAAAATATTAAGATAACTGCTAGAGAGACCTGAACCAGAATCCTGGATCCAAATGCCCCTGATCTTTGGCGAAATTTTGATCAACATGTCAACTTCCTGACTTGTACCTTTTTCTATCCTGGGCAGAATAAAAACACTCCATCTAAACAATCCTGAATTCAGGTGAAGTTCAGATCTGGATCCAAACTTTGTAGAATATCAGAATTGTGATACTGGATCAGATCAATGATCAATCTAGTCCTGCACCTTAAAAACAAACAAGCAAAGCCCAACCCCTTTACCTGTCATACTAACAAACAAATCAATCACACAGAATATAACTTTATCCCAAGCAGAGCTTTTATAGCCCCAAAAGGGGAAGAGCCAGAGACTCCATGAAATCCACTAGTGTCTTCGTTGTTGCCAATCTACTTTACATTTAAAGTGTTCAGATACTATGGTGATATGTGGCAATATAAAACAGATACATGAATAGAATACATATGCTTCAGAAGAAGGTACAAGAAACCCTGTAATAATTATGGAGTAACCTGTGGCTCTGACACATCTCAAGCAATTTCTAAACTTAACAAGTAGTAGAGTATCATTAGTATGTAAACTAATAAATAATACAACATTTTCTCAAGCCCCCATCAAGCACTGAAACAGTCTATGCTGGCTTCTGTGGGGCCCTGCTTCTTTTTCTTGTCTATTGTGAGTCTTGCATCTTATTCTCATATAAATAACATGTTTCCTCAGCATTGACAAGTCAATCGTGAAACGTTTCAGAGGAAGAACTAACATCCCACATTAATGTCCCGCTGGGTGCACTTAGAACAACACTCCAAGCAGTAAATACACAAATCTGGCCCAATAGTCAGCCACCTTGGAAACTAGAGATGATGTCCTGAGCTTTTAGTCCTTCTAGACCAAGGCTGGGCACTGTGGAGGCAGCATGCTCAGCCTTGCAGGAGAGGGAGTGTCTTCTGTCACTCATAAGCTCTCTTCCTATTTTTTAAAGTGGCACTGAATAGCTCTGTAGAGTCGGGCATGTCCAGCCCTTTGCCAAATGAGGTAATTGAAACCTTGAGGACATCATTGGTGGACGTACAGGCAGAAAATCACATTCCTCCCACCCAACCAAAATATCCCAAATCATTTCCTTCTATATACCTAAGAATAAAAAAATAAATATGACTTTGAATTAAACTAAGCTAAATTCAGTTTAATGTACACAGTAGGCACAGACCTGATTAAGAAGTCAGACAATGTTTTGGCCCACAGGGAACTTACAAAATTACAGACATCTGTCCTGAAATTAGAATTAAACTAGTGAGCCGTCCCTCTCAGAACTAGATTTTCACTCCTAAATCATTGTTTAAGAGGCCCTGCCATGCAATTGTTCACTAGTATTTTTCCTGATTCTATTCATCATTAAATCAGTTCCACACAGACTGCGAGCATGTCTGTCTCACAGTACATGGAGAGCTATATTATTTTTCACCAGATGGAAATAAATTGTTTTTTTAATGATTTTTGTTTTAAGGTTTCAATTACCTTTGATTTGCCAGAACAATACTGTATATCCTAATTTGAAGAAATTGGAAAAAACTGCAATTTAGAGTTTCCTTTTGAAAAATATTTACTTTCAAATACTTTATCAGCAGGATCCATGTCTCCCTCTAGTGGCAGGCCTCAACAATTACCACTACGCCCAGCTATGTGTTGTTCATCTATTATTATGGTTGTTGTTGTTAATTAGCTCAAGTGGAAGGATGATGTGATTTTTGAGGGTGATGATCACACGTTTGATCCTGCTAGTGACTACTGTGTGTGCGTTTGTCTGCACTCATGGTTTGTTACACTAGCTAGCTGTTTTTAAACCATAAATTAGCAATCATGTTTTTCCTGTGCCAAAGTAGACTATAATCTGGTTAAAATTAAGGAACATTTTTTGAAGTTTGTAAACTAGAGCCAACCTGACTATTCTGTTCCTCTGTTTAAGTAGTGCAAACTATCTGGCATGTTATCACTTACTAGATTTCCCAGGAACATGAGCTATGGTTTATACTCGTCCATCCCTAGTACTGCCTTAAACAAGAGTGAGAACATCATTCTCTTTATCCCGCCATGCTCCTGCAAACCTCTGCCCCCTTGAGATTTTATTGATTTGAGGTATTTTTCTGGTTATCATAGTAGATGGGCTAGAGGTGCAACATGCAGACATTAAATTCACCCAAGCTTCTGAGGGTTTGAATCTTGGATTTTCAACTTTTCTCCACCCATGAACTCAAAATAAGCCACTGTTTCCTCTCATGAGCTTAATCCATCCGATAGTTCTTTGCAACAGGTTATTGCTAAATTTGTGATGCGTGTGCAGGTGCTGGGTGGATAGAACTGGGAGCTGTGGAACCATAGTGTGTTGGGGTCTCTGGGTTAGGGCTGATAAGAGAGTGGGTGCTGATAAGTAAGTGGGTGGTGCAGGGTAAGGCTTTCTGAAAGTAGATGAGTGTTCTGTCTGTTTAGCGGGGAGCATGTAGGTCGGTCCAGACTGGTCCTGAATGAGTTGCTGGGTGTTCTGGCAGAGGTGGGGCTGCTGGGACATCGGGCTAGGAGTTTCTGGGTGTTGGAGATGGGGGGATAAGGGAGAAAGATTGCTCCCTTCTGCTCTTGCCATTCTGCTGCCACTGCAGGAGCTTCTTCCCTCCCGTTTCTCCACTCAGCTTCAGAGAAGCTCTGCTTAAGTAGAATGGGGAGCTGACCGGGTGCTGTGAGAAGTAGGGGAGGGAAGGATTTTTCTCCTTCACCTAATTCCCAGAAGTCTGAATAATTTTAATGAGGGAGGGAGAAAAAGGAGGAAGGGAAGGTTTTTGTCCAAGACTTCATGGCCTTGACCCTCATCTCCCTCCAGCAGCACCCAGCAAACTTCAGACATCTCATCTTCAAAGCTCCTCGCCCAGTGACCCTGCACTCTACAGAGCCTGGAACCCTCAGCATGACCAGCCACAGCTCTCACATCCATAGCCAGCACTGCTCACTCTCTCTCTTGGTAGTCTCTTATGCCCTCTACAGAGAGCGGTGCCAGTCTCACACTTTGTCTCTGGGTTCAGATTCCAAACTTTCCCAGCCATTCAGGAGATTTTAATCTAGAGTTTGGCCTTGGCCCACCTCTTAGTATGGGTTTCATTTTCCAACCCTCTATTAATTCTCAGCCAGTCCTGAGCACTCTGTCCATCTACAGTTTTATCTCTACCACCTCCATTTTTCTCATCGCCTCCTGCAAGGTTAAAGTTTGCTCAATTTCCCATCGCTTACAGCCACTGCAGCCTAAGTCAGCTAACCTTTCACCAATATCGGCTGAATTCTTGCTAAGTAAGTCTGACATCATATGATCAGTCAGTCCATACCACCTACACATGTGAAACTGAAAATAGACAGCTGTTTCTTGGCCACTAGAAGCTATAAGCAAACTACAGGTTATTTAGAGAACCCTCCTTTCTGCCTATCTAGTCCATGTGTTTGTGTAGGTGTCTGTCGGTCTTGAGCATTTATAGGTGTCCATTGTTGTAGTGTCTAGGCACCAAGACATCTCTTGATTGCCAGTAAGTAATGTAATAATAATAATAATTAAAAAAAAAGAGCTTGTAACTAAGGGCCTCAGGTAAAAGACCTGAAAGTGGAATATTGTTTTCAGTCTTGTGGTGGCCACATTGAGAATTTATTGATTGATTATGAATGTGATGGTCCCAGTTGTGTATGATTAAGAACCCTGTGTTTTTTATACTGTAGAGTACTTAAATCCAGGCCCTTGTAACAAATTTAGAGCACTTCAGTGTTGTCATTTTTCATATTTTCTATAACAAGTCATTTCAGATAGCACAGTTCTGGAACTGTGAACCTTGATTTGATTTTTTTCCTCTTCTGGCAAGAGAAAATTTCTATGCTTTAGTGCCTTCAGTACATTTTAACAATTGCTTCAATTACTGCACTGTCTGCTTGAGTCTAGGAAGATGAAAAAAAGCACTAAAAACCTGCACAATGGTTAATTATGCAAACTCTGCAGCACAAGTTATTTTAATTGGTGTGTGGTATGTCATACTGCCTGTTATGAGATGTTAGATAGAAGGTAAAAGACAATTCTATGTTCTGACTCCCATTGGAAATACGGTCCTTGTGGTCAGGGCCGGCTCCAGGCACCAGCCCAGCAAGCAGGTGCTTGGGGCGGCCAAGGGGAAGGGGCGGCACGTCGAGCTCTTTGGCGGTAATTTGGCAGCGGGTCCCTCAGTCCCTCTCGGAGGGAAAGACCTGCCGCCGAATTGCTGCCGAAGAAGAATACTGTGTGGTGGAGCTGCTGCCGATCGCGATCACGGCTTTTTTTTTTTCCCCGACGCTTGGGGCGGCAAAAACCCTGGAGCTGGCCCTGCTTGTGGTTTAATTATAAAAGCATGGTTATTGACAGCAAAGAAGTGATAAAAATCCTGGCAAATAGGCAAGTCAATGAGATCATAATTACACAAAGGGAGATGGATTCAACCACTCACAAAGCAGCCTAGGTGTCTCCCCTAGACCTAGCTCAGATTAAGTAATTTCAAGATCAGAGGCATGTAAACAGGCATCTAGCTTTGCCATAATATTGACAAAACCCTATCTGGACCAAAGACCAGACAGAAACAGTTACACTTAAATGAAAGTAAGAGAAAGTGTGTACATGTTCTGTCTGTTCTGCTTACTTTTAAATTAGAGAAGGTAGGGGCAGGGCTGGTTGTAGGCGTGGGTTAGCAGAGTAGTTATTTGCAGGGGGTGCTGTACTGCTGGTTGTTGTTTGTTTTTCTCTGTTGTGATTGGCCAGCCATTTTTGCTCTGCTGCGATTGGCTAGCTGCAAGTTTTTTTTCTGCTGGGCCATTGGTGGGGGCATTGAAAACATTTTCTGCCTTGACCAGCAAAATGGCTAGGGCTGCTCCTGGAGAGAAGAGTAAGATGAAGAGCAACAAAG